ATTCCTGGTCTAGGTTGATTCTGGGTACCTGACCACGGAGGAGAATTTTGTTGTTGAATCGGGGGAGAGTTTTGTTTATGCTGGCGTGGGGGGGGGGGTCAATCGTGGGGAACGATTGCCCCCTAGTCTCTCCAAAGCGGAGGTTCGCTCTAGAGTGCACTCCCCTCGCCGTTGTTGGGGACACTGCTGTCGTGGCGGCTGCTGGAGGTGATGATGGACACCTGGTCTCGGTGAACCCCAGTTTGCACCCAGGAGGTTCATCGAGAGGCTTTGGTGGGTAGTTGTCCTGTCACTCAGCCTGTTGAAGATGGGGCCCCTCCCACTTGGATCGAGGATTGGTGTTTTCACCCCCTGAGGTTCTAGAGAGATGGGGGATCTCCGAGAATCGTTAATGGTGATGGCATTCACGCCTTCACCATTGCGGCAGCGGTAAAACATATGGCGTGTCGTGTAGCGCAACAACAGGACTGAGGGTCGATGTGGGGCCACGAACTGCTGCGCTGCCTAGGGGTGAGAAGTGTCAGACTGTTGTGCTAGCTAGGGGCACGACAAGAACCGACGTGAAAGGTTATGGGTTCATTTCCTGGTGGTGCAGTGGAGATGGGACCACCAGTGCATCGGGCCGTTTGATCAACTGATGGGACCTCGATCGATCCCGCTCTCAGGGATTGTGGTATTGAAGCCACTAGAGAAATCAGCATGATGACATTGTTTGCTGCTCCAGTTGCCGCCTGGTCATGTAGCGCACGCAGAATCTCTGCAACTTAGAGATGAGGACGCCAACCGCGATCGAGGGGTCTGTATCCAAAAGGTTATGCAGTTGCGGAACCACCCGACTAAGCGGCATTGCCGCCGCATCCCTGTTATGGTAGATCTGTTAGCAGAGGTCTGTCGAGTATTGTTGGATCTGTTGACAGAGATCCACAGTGGTAAAGGTGATTTGCTTGCCCTTAGAGGACCTCCTAGTGCCAGAAGGATGGTTGTCTCCACAGAAGGATCTGAGTTGGCTGCCTAAGTCGTTGACTGTTTGCTTCTCTGTGCTCTTTTCACCATTTTGACTATTGAAAACTTATTTGGAGAGGATCTAGACCTCATTAAAATCCGGACTCTCAACGAGAGCACCAAATGACAGCTTTATTGACTCAGAGGTAGGCAAAACTGGAGGAGAGTTAGAGAACATGTTAAGTATAGATTGAGTAAGAAATTCGGCAGAGTAGCAATAAGCTTGAGAATTCAGAATGTGATCTCTTTCCACAAGCCGGAAGATGATATTTATAGTGTACAAGCAAATGTTTGGGGATCAAGAATAGGTAACCGCCCCGGCCACTAGTCTATTGACATGCATAAAGCTAATTGGAGAGATAAAATCTAATTGATTGGTATTATTGTACCGACTTTTCTTCTTTGCATACTGGAATGGATAGATAAGCCACATGTGTAACTTGGCAGCTGGCAGGCGTAACCACACTGGCTGACGTTAACCCTGGAACAACTGTCATGTAGTGGCGTAATCCTGAATGTTGTGATATCGTAGTGCGAAAATGTCTAAGCCCACAATCAATATTTGTGGTCCCGAGCTTGGTCGTGGAGGTCGTGCTCGAGGGTAATGTGCTACTAAGAGGTGGGGAATCTCAGCTCATGAAGTAGGAATGTCTCTGTTGATCTTGAGCTCGTAGTGCGGTGCTAGGCCTTAGCTCGGCATTCCAGGTACTTACGTGAGATAGGTGAAAATTCCATGTTGATGGCATCTTTCTTAGTCAGCAACTCCTCAATGTGGTTGGTCGTGCTTCCTAGGTCAGTCACACCCCTCTTGCGAACAACTTAACCATAGACACCGACGGTGCAGGCAGGTCGGGTAGGCATCCGCTCTAGAATGATACCCATGGTTTAGAAGGCGAGATTCAACTAGATCTTGTTGGTCACCTCAGGCTAGAAGGTATTCCTTCATCCTTCTTGCAGCTTAGATGGGCTTCCCGATTCAGCGGATGATGGATCCGTGATCAATTAGGATGCATTGTACGCCCTCATGACCAACTCACCAAGCTGACGACTTTATATGCTTGGATGGACGTTGGTGAGCAACCTGCTGTCATCCGGTTCCTTCCCAAATCATCGAACAAACTCGAACATCCTGAAGTCACCCGACACTTCTTGAGGTTGGCAGATAAGGGTGAGAAGTAGGCAGTCACCATCCGACAGTTCCCTAGGTCGGTCGCCCACGTTTAGCAGGTATGTGACTTCATGGCACTTTTATTGGATGAGGGGGAGCAGTTTTTCCACCCTATAACTTCCAGATTAGACATCCCTTCAAACCCTTCCAGGCTTGTTACCAAGTCTTCCCAAGTTACTCTCACGACTACTACGGGCGACTTTCACTAACGAGCCACTGAAACCCTAAGCTGGTCTCCCCTATGGGTGATGATTTTCCAGGGCCGAACACTCAAATGATATATGTTTTGTTTATAAATTTTATGTTCATAGACCCTCTTGATCTTGTAAAGCATTTTAATTTGTCTTGTTTGCAGGGTTTACTTTAAGAATGTGTGGGCATTCAAGGTTGTAATCATCTCTTGTGCATAGCTCTAGTAAGGGTCACGAGGGCAATGCGGCCCTGAAGGAATCATTGGAGCATGAGGAAGATGGACGAGGAAGATAACTTCATAGAACTCAACAAGAACTGATTAGAAGGTAGTCCCCCGTGGTGAGGACGACATTGCAATATGGAGTCCGCAGTGGAGCTCCCTATCGGTGGCGTCTTCAAGATGTATTACACCACTATCCCAGATGGGAATGGGTCCGCTTAGCCATGACTTCGTACTCTTTTGTGTAGCTTGAAATTGCCAAATGTAAACTTTGACTAATTGTTAATTTTCAATTCATACTTTTCTTTTTCTATACTTTGTGTTACGAATACTAAGGCAATATATTTGGGAATCTGGTATCTCTAACTGTCTAGGGAGGGCGGTAGGCCGGCATGATCGGGCCTATTTGCGCCCCTCCCGATCGGATATAAGTGATATGTTCAATGCTAATATGGAATCAACTAGTGTGCGACTTGTTCGGCCAGCAAGGTCGGACCTCGAACGTACGAGAAGGACCTTTAGATATTGACATCCCAAATGGTCATGACTTGGGGGCTAGTTCTATTGTCGACTTAACCTTCCTGCTTGATCGGAATTGGGGAATAATCTGGCCATTCCCGCTAGGTCAGCCGAAAAACGGAGGTGAGCCCTCCATGATTTAATAGGTTATTGGCATATTTCCTAATCCGCTATAAGGATGGCGAGGTGAGTCAATTCTCGATATATTCCATTATTTCTTCCGAGTTTCCCCTCAATACACGATGGGGTATCTTGTGGTCAATAGTCGTGAGCATCGGAAACTTTTCAAGAAGAATAAGACCTCCATCAAAGGCCGGGAAGAGCTATTTTCTTCTTTCAAGTCCCCAACGCCCCCATTCCCAAGCCGGTGGAATTAATTCCCCCCCAAGGTCAAGGACCCCTCACGTCTCGGACGCCTTAGGGGATCATATCACTGTTGTGGAATGTGTCGGACCTATTCCACATCTTGGATTATGTTAATGTTAAGAGTCTTGCCAAGGTCAAGATAGGTACCGCCCACACCCCTAGATTGCTTATTGAGTCCAAGTATAAAGGCTCAGGCGGTCCTATCTCGTGCGGGGAGTTCCCCTCTGGGTTCCAACAGCTCATCACATATATTGAACTCTCAGTCCTAACTCCCTTGTGTCTCGTTTTCAGGTCCCATTGTTGTAACCAAAGGGCAAATGGGGGTTGATCGTTTGAGGCGGATTCGAGCCAACAAATGCAAGAAGAAAGGGACCAAGAAGGAGGAAGATGTCGTTCGCTATCCAGAGCAGTCATATACTCACTTTTCATCTGCCTCTCAGCTCAGGTAGCAAGAACCGGGCGATGTTCACTCCTGACCGGTCCATGCAAGCTCCGACGTTGGTAGCAAGGCCCAAGCGCCGGGCGGTGACGCCCCTCTCCAAGTTGCCCCCTTCAGTCTGTGATAGGGGCTTGCGCCAGAGAATCCCCCGGTGCCGCCTGCTAAGCTCCCTCGAAGTGACGGTAGTGATCGATTCAACCTGATCCTTGAGGGCCAATGTCTTCTTGGCTCGGCCTCGAGCGTCCTCTGGGAAGACTTCATCTCCCATTCTGATGCGGAGGTCCATCCATGTTCCTCGTCCTTGTCGAGGAAGGAATGTTCCTCACCTGCTTCTAGGTTTTCATTCTTCTGTTCGTTCTTGTTCTGTTATCTAGTATGGGTGTCCAACTTATCTGCCATTTAATGCTCGACAGGCTGGCGTGCACGCTCTCTAGGCCTGGGCCGCCTGGGGAAAAAGTTGATTAATGGATCAATGCTTGTGATACCATGAAACGATATGAAATGTTTGGAAATATTTTCTATATATGATTATAAATGTATTGATACATTTGTAGCTACAAAAGTTTAACTATACAAGGACTCTTATGAAGATAATGATAAGAGAAAGAGATTTTTCCTAAAATATTATTAATTAAAGTCATGGACAAAAATATTACTCTTAGTAACTATTAGTGACTATGTTTAAACATTATATCATAATAACTTACATGTGTTTACTAAGCTGTAAATTTGAACATAATTATAGTCACTAATAATCAAGTACTCCGTAATATTTTTTCCTTTCACATTTTATATGGTAATACTATTGGAATTTTTTCTAAGAAGAATAATTGTGATGGTCTTACTTTCTTTTTTGCATTGTTTGAGAATGAATGTCATGTTTCATTTTTGGTAAGAAATTTGTAGTTCATATCACTTTAAATTACTTTTTTTTAAATGAATTACTTTATTAATAATCGTGTTAAATTAAAACAAAACATCACATACTTCCCAAAAAAACTTTTAATTCCGAAAAAAAGAGGTGTAAATGCGAGTTGGATGTGTGGCTTCTTTTTACCGCTCACTTAACACGCATCCCTCTTGACTCTTCTGCCCATTATAATAGATACATACATCTGCAAGTCTGCAGACACAAATATCTGGTTATTATTATATACACAGAATCGGATCAAATTATTTAGGATGTGTGTCCAAAGCTGTTTCGTTGGAGCCTTGAATCTGCTGGTGGTAATATCTAGAGGGCAATTCTTCAACTGGAGGGAAAGAGAGAGAGGGAGGGAATCAATGGAGTTTTACACATACCCATCTCATCCTCGGCCTTCATCTTCAACTTTTTCTTCGTTTTCATTTGAGAACCTGGTTGACAAGGCCAAGGAATTCTTCACCTTTGCTATCTCTTCTTTCATTGGCAATGTCTTTTCTGCCATCTTTACCTTCTTCTTCGCCTTAGGTATGCATTTCTTTCTCAAATATCTTATTTTTCTGGTTTTAGTAGCTTGAATTTCTTGATCTATATGCATAACTATCCTCAGGGTAGCATACATGCGATGTGGTGTTTTTTTCTGTGTTTGTTGTTCATCGAGGAGTTTTATTGTAGGATAGCCTATTCTTCTAGGGCTTGTTTGGTTTTGGGATTCCGGATGGAAGGGTCTGAGGGAAGGGCATGGGATTGTAAAATGTTTCTACATTTAGAGATTAGAGATTAAGTGCAGATTAGAAATGAAGGTTTCCAGTCATTAGATACTAATAGTTGGAAGTAATGAAGATTTTTTTGACTTTGTTCTTGCAGTGGGTACCTTATTAGGAGCAATGACTGGAGCTTTGATTGGCCAAGAGACCGAGAGTGGGTTCATAAGAGGGGCTGCCGTAGGTGCTATCTCTGGGGCTGTTTTCTCTCTAGAGGTCTTTGAGTCATCTCTGCTGTTGTGGCAGTCAGATGAGTCCGGAATTGGGTGTCTCCTTTACTTGGTAAGCAAACATGACCTCTTAGCTCTCACCGACGGGTGGCTTGATAAGTGGCTGATGTGCGTTTGGGGAATTGTATTTTGATTACTTTCCCTTTTGAGGTTACTGCAAACTGGGGGAAACCATGCAAACTGGGGGAAACCATCCTATGTGCACAAATAGCACCATCATTTTTAAATAAAAATACGATTCATACGGGCCTAAAAAGGAACCAAGGTAGTTAATGAAGAGAATATGTATTTGTTCTCTTCCATAGTGAGTCCCAAGTTTCAGTAAAAGAAAACGATTGTTCAACTTGTACTTTGTAGAAATGTTCTATGCTTACTCCTGACTGCAACTTGATTGCATCATTCAACTCTTGAACATAAAGACGTTGAAATACATTTAAGTTTGAAGGGACTGTAATGGCTTGCTCATTTGGTTCAGTGGGCATGGGTAGGATAGCTTAGCAGCATAACCATATTCTGACCAATTTCGCTACTTTACTATTCATTAATCCAGTTTTGTTTTGTAGTATGTTGATTATATGGTTAATTGTTGAGCAATTGGTAAATTTTATAGATTGATGTGATTGCAAGCCTTTTGAGTGGTAGACTTGTTCGTGAGCGTATTGGTCCGGCAATGCTAAGTGCGGTGCAAAGTCAGGTACCCCATTACTTCTCCAAGTGCCAAGAGATTTGTGAAGTGTTACACACATGTTAGGTGATAGAGCCCCCCCGCCTATGTAAGGACTTATCGGGGTTTAGCAAGATCTAAGTGGAAAGAGGCAGGATCTTTGCAGAAAAAAGACTAGAAATCTAATTATATAAGGCTTTTTTCTCCAATAAGGTTTTTACTTTTAAGTTGAAATCCCAAGTCATTAAATGCTATGAGTGTTTGTCAAACTCCAACTAAGAATTTGATGTGGTAAGCTTCAAGCCTTCAACACGAACTTTAAAATTGGTATGCTCCAATTAACATTCTTTTTGTAAGGACGTGTTAAGTCATGCAGCATTTGTAGAATAGTACTAGTAAAAAAATAAACTTACATGTAAGACATTGAGCTATGTATCCCGGTATAGATGGACAGAGGCCATAGGTTGTGATTCGTGTCAAGAAGAGATTTTTATTACAATGCAACTGGGTAAGATTTTTAACTGTGCATCAAAGCTAACAGTTTCAAATTATCTATCAGATGGGAGCCATTGAAGCTGCATATGACGAGGCATCTAACATTTTTGACCTAGGCGGTTCGAAGGGTTTACCAGGAGATTCAGTCGAAAGGATTCCCAAAATAGTAATAACTAGTGATAACAATGTTGATGCTTCTGGGGAGAGAGTCTCGTGTTCAGTGTGCCTACAGGTACCTCTCGCATATGTCTTGTTTTGCTGTTCACATAACACTAATCCCTTTACATCTCTGTGTTGAATAGTAATACCCGACCAGTCTTGTTTAAAGAGTTTTTATTCTCTCATGTGATTATAGGACTTTCAGCTCGGTGAGACGATCAGAAGTTTGCCGCAGTGCCATCACATGTTTCACCTACCATGCATTGATACATGGCTGTTGAGGCACGGCTCCTGTCCATTATGCAGAAGGGATCTGTAGAATAGTGCCCCAAGCTCTGTAAATTATATAGTAAGGTTCTTAACTATCGTTATCTGCCATGCTTTTATTTGCAAGCTATATTCGTCATCACGTCCTCCCTTAGTACTTGCTTACTGCATACCAATTTTCCAAGAAGCCTATGTAATTACTCCCCAGTTTGTGCTTGTTTTAGTTCTTTCGTTGTACTCGACTTATCACCTTGTAAAGAAAAAGTTTTGGCCTCAGGACAGTCTTCAATTCCTTACCATTATGTTTTGTTGCATTCAAGCTTGTTTCTAATAAGTGCTGAACGCTTTATGACCATTTGAATTGGCACTTTTTACGACATAGAGCATAACGGTCCCGTCTATAGGGAAAAATACTTGAGCTTCGGTATACTCCACTTGCCATAACAAAAAGACTGAAATTGTCAAAGTTTCGATACGCAAATTATACCGTACATCCGGTTGTACAGTGAGCATCGTACAGCCGGCATTTTTGTAATTAAATTGATGCTTTGCAATTCATCGACGACGGGAAAGATGGATGGAATTTGAAGCAGACGACCAAACGCCTCTCATCGTCATTCTCCTTCTCGGAACTCTCTTCCCCTGCCTTCACCTAACCATTCAGCCCTGAATCAAGATGAATCGATGCAGATTCATTCAGGCTGGTCCAGATGAACCGTCTCCTTCTCGGAACTCTCTTCCCATGCCTTCCCCTAACACTTCATCCCTGAATCCAGATGAATCGATGCAGATTCATTCAGACTGGTCCTTGACAACTTCAACAATAACTTGGTCCGTTTCAAATAATCTGAATTTGAAGTATTTTGTAGATTTGTAGGATCAAATTGTTGACCGAATTCACTAACAATACATATATATGTAGTATTTGAAGTTACGTAGATAGAATTTGTCAAGCAATGAATTTGTCAAGCAAATTTGCAAATTCATTTGCAAATTTGTAGCCTGAGGTTTGTCGTTTCCTATTCTGCAGGGATGCGCCGCTCACCTAATAAGATTTTACAAAAGAAAAAGAAATGAGCATACATAAGAGTATATTGAGTAGTGTACATATTTCAAATGAGCTTTTAAATTTTTGGAGGTTCATTTTGTAGGTTTTGTATGCTCATTTTGTATTATGAGCATAGGTTATGATACTCATTTGTATTCTTTTAATATTTAATAGAAGAGTATATTGAGTAGTGTACATATTTCAAATGAGCTTTTAAATTTTTGGAGGTTCATTTTGTAGGTTTTGTATGCTCATTTTGTATTATGAGCATAGGTTATGATACTCATTTGTATTCTTTTAATATTTAATAGAAGAGTATACTCATTATGTAATTACTCATTTGATATCATTGCTCATTTGATAAGTTATATATGTTTATTTGGTACTGATGTTATGCTCATATTAAAATGTTATCTCAATGCATATTTCAAAAGTAACATATTACATTAGATTCAAGTAGAAGTTAATTACAGACACTATAGCACAGACCATGATATTCAATTGCATGTTCTTAATACTCAATTGAGGAAATTTGATGCTCAATGAAAACGTCTTGATGCTCGATCAATAAAAAAACTTATGCTTGTCATACTAATGCTCAGTTTATAATTTATGAATGCTCAATTGGCACTCAATTGCACGCTTTTAATACTCAGTAGAGGAGGTATAATGCTCAATGAAAAATGTCTTGATGCTCAACTAACAAATCTTATTATTTTCATATTAATACTTATTTTGTAAGCTACATATGCTTAATCGATATTGATGTTATGCTCATTTTTAAAATGTCATATGCATATTTCAAAAGTATATTCAAATATTTAACTTTATAGGGATTGATTGTAGATATAACTTAATACGTTGCTATAAAAGAAAAAATGTAAAAAGAAGGTGAATTAGAAGATATGAATCAGAGATTGTGATGCTCAATATTAGACTCCTAATACTCAAAAGAATAGGTCTACTGCTAATTAAAAAATCATTAATGATCATTTAACAGAAGGCGTTATTTTCATCTCAATATAGGAGGTTTGATGTTCAATGAAAGTGTCGTGACGTCCAACTAACAAAGTTGTGTATGTTCATTTGATACTGATATTATGCTCATTTTTAAAATGACATATCGATGCATATATCAAAAGTACCATATTACATTGAATTTCCATATTGAAGTTTATAGAAGTTCATTATAGATATAATTAATAAGTTTTTATAAAACAAAAAATAAGAAAAAGAAAGTGATTTACAAGATATGAAGGAAAGATCATGATGTTCATTACTAGACTCGTAATACTCAATAGAATACGTCTGATGCTCATTAAAAGTGTAATAATGTTCATCTAACAAAAATCACGACTTTCACTGAAATTACGAAAATGCCACCGCTTTTTAGTTGTGATATCAACTTTCTTGTAATAGAATTGTGCTCATTAATAGACTTTCAATACTCATTAGAATTGGACAACTGCTCATTAACAATACACCAATGCTCATTTAGCGGAAACTGTGAATTTCATTTAAATTATTAAAATGCCACCGGCTGTATGGTTCTCACCGTACAACTGGCTGTACAGTATAGGGACTCGTTTTGATATACTTGGTATGATACCGTGCCAAATTATTTTAGTATGGTACCAATGATATACAGTTATTATATCTAAAGCCCAACCAAAAAAATTAAAAAATACTAAAATCGTTCAGGAGGATAAAGAATTCTTTATATTCTTGTTGCTTGTGTGTTTGATTACCTTTTTTGTCAGAGATTAGTATTGTTTTATGTGTATATATATACGAGTATGTTGTTTGAATTATTGTTATATACGAGTATTTTTTTAAATTGAATGCTCAGTTATGAATCGACTATTATTAACATTTCGTACATGTTTCTAGTAATGATTTTAGTACAACACTTATAATTTCGATTTTATATGTTTCGTTTAGTATATAGGAATTTTGGTGTATTAAAATTTGAGTACGATATCATCAAAAAAAAAAAAAATTGAGTACGATAAGAGTTTTCTTAAGAGAGAAGATATGATAAGATTTTCCATCAATATGGTTCTTTTCAAAAATTAGTCTTCCGTCCCCTGATATATTGAATCTATTGATTGATAATTGACAACACATGGGATAGTCTCCGCGGAGTGCCTATACCGTACACCCGGCTGTACGGTGCAAATCGTACAGCCGGTGGCAATTTTGTAAATTTAGTGAAGATCATGGTTTCTGCTAGATGAGTATTAGTGAAATGTTAATGAGCAGTAGTCCAATACTCCAATTGTAATGAGTACTAATAATCTAGTAATGAGCACGGTGTCATTACATGAAAGCTGATATCACAAATAAAAAACGGTGGCATTTTTGTAATTTCACTGAAAATCGCGATTTTGATTAGATGAGCATTAATACATTTTTAATGAGCATCAGACATATTCTACTGAGTATTAAGAATCGAACAATGAATATTGTGATATCAACTTCATATATTGTAATCCACTTTTTTTCTTATTTTTTTCTTTTATAAAAATTCATTAAATTGTATGTATAGTAAACTTCTATGAACTTCCATATGTGAATATAATGTAATATGATACTCTTTTAAATATGTATTGGAAGAACATTTTAACATGAGCATAATTCGAGTACTGCATGAGCATGTGTAACTTACAAAAAGAGTATTAATATGAAAATCATATTTTTTTAGTTGAGTATCAAGACATTTGCTTTGAGTATCAAACTCTCTTTATTGAATCTAATAGTACACCAATATCAAATGAGCATACTCACTTTACGAATGAGTATCAAAAAATTCAAAAGGCTCATTCAAAATGAGCATATATAGCTTACGAAATGAGTAGTGAAAAAATTTAAATGAGCATTACACCAATATGCATGGATATCACATTTTGAAATGAGCATTACACAAATCTAAATGAGTATACATAAATTATGAATAATAACTTATAAAAATTCTTAAAGAAAAAATAAAGAAAAGAAATAACTAAAACAGGAAAACAACAAAAAGTGAAAAGCAAGAAACGATTAAATGAAAAGCCACCGAAAAGTGAAAAGCAAAGAAACGATTAAATGAAAGTGAAAAGCAACGAAAAGAAGAGGAAACCAAAAAGAAAAGAAAACGGAGTAAAGCCATAGTGCGTGAGAGGTACTCCGTATTTCCCAAGCTTGGCGCTGGTAGTCCGTAGCAGCCATCAGCGAAAAAGAAAAAAATCGGCGGACGAGCAGTGGGGAAAAGAAAAGCAGCAGCATCCATTAACCTAACCTTTACCACTGAACTTGGATTTAATTACAAAAAAACCCGGCTGTACCATGCTCTAGGTACAGCCGGCTGTACGGTATATATTACGGTCTCCGCGAGGTCGAGAAAAAACGAGGAAATGTTAAGTTATTCATGTCTTTGGTTATTTGATAATTTTGGGGATATCTTAATTTTCTTCCGAAAATACCTTCAATTTATTATCACTTTTCATTTAATTAATGTGATTTTTTTTCTCACAATATTTTACCTTTTTTTTTAATGTCGGTAGGCAAACCACCAAAATCAGTGGGGCAAACGCCAGGGAACGTTTGCCGAATTTTATTAAAATTAAAAAATACAAAAGAGATGGGGGTCATACCAAAACCTCTCGGGAGGCATACCTGACCCAAAACTCCAAGAAAAAAAACTCAAAGGAAGAAATAGAAAGGGTCAGAATATGAAGGGGTGAAGTTTCTTAATTTAGTCTCCTCCCGATCAAGCCTAGCAAGAGCGTGAGCAATCCCATTCATTTCCCTAAAAATGTGCTGAATTCGGATATAACGAGTCTGGCAAATCTTCAGGGCTTCATGAACCGAGCTTTGCAAGTATACCGGCGCCATACCTTTCTTTAGCAAGATCCTTGTCGTCATTTCCGAATCAGATTCCAATCGGAGATCTGAGTATCCAAAGCGAGCGCACCATTGAAGAGCTCTAAGAATGACCAGATAGACTTTTGATATGGAGTGTTACTTTTGTCGCACTTACGTGTACACTATTTTCCGGTCAATATAAATTGTTCTTAATCTTTTATTTTATATATCCAACTTTTATTAATTCTGATTTTTTCAAATTTATAAAACTTTTTATATAGTTTCTAAAAATGTAAACTTTATTTACCAAAAATAATATTATTATTGATAGAGATAAATTAATTTTATGGTCAGTCAAATGTCATAAATTGTGTGACAACTTCTAAGTGGGACGGGGAGAATGTTTTTTAATTATATTTGCATGTCTTTTCTTATTCTTGTTATTTCTTGTTATTTGCATAGTTTTTTTCCTTAACATTTAAATTTTAAAAAGTTTTTATGTTATAGGACTTATAGGTTATTTAAGTTTTTGATGAGTGGATATCAAAATTTAATGACAAAATTGTTATTTTTTTTAAAATTTAAAAACAACTTTTACGAATAGCTTGAATAGTTTTTAAATTGAAAACTTTTTTAAATGATAGATAAATATACTTAGAATACTCTCTGAACAATTTTTTTTAGTTTTTACAATTAAACGTACTTTGCTTAAAAATAATTCAATTACTTTTGATTCTATTTACTATTACAACATGTCTTTTTTTTTTCTTTGATTTAAATTATTTTAAATGTAGGTTGTAATATGGGTATTCTCATCATCATGGTCATCATCATTATCTCAGTGCCAGAAAGGCTCCCACCTATGGTAAGGTAAGGGGAGTCGGATGTATGCAATCTTACCCCTGTATTAAGGCACAAAGAGACTGTTTACGGATGACCCATAGTGAAAATCGCGTCGAAAATTGCATGGCCTGATGGTTGCTTCATAACAAAGATGCGCATACAATTTAGTGAGTCTTTTGCTATATTTTTATCATATTCCCAAGCCAAAAAATAGTGAGTCTTTCGCTCCATTGCAAATGATGGAAATAATATAGGTATTCTCTTAAGCGAAAATATTTAAAAAACCATCGAAATGATTCATTGAATCTGCAATATACGATAGCATTCAATCAAAGAAATTAATGTCACATTATCTTAATCTTAATCAAACAAAAATGAAAATAAGTTGGATAGATTCTTATTTATGTAATATACCCAGTAATCTAACATTTTCATGGTTCGTGGTAATCTGACATTGATTGAACCAAATGAGCCCTTAGTGTAATACAAAGGAGGCACACTGGCAATGAAACTCAATTTTGTTCACCTCTTTAAAAGGATGATGTTCATCCTCCATATATATATGTCATGTATATATATATATGTTCATCCTCTTTAAAAGGATGATAATCTTTTTTGACAAGCACTAGAATTGAAGGCCACCGGGAGGTTTACGATGAAGATTTGAAGGCAAAGGAGCTCTAGAATTGGCTACGAGA